GCTTGAGGAAACTCGACCAGGGACATATGCTAGCATTCAAAGACTATCCTCTTATCCACTATACCACACTGGTACAGAGTCTTCCTTGATCATTGCTTCCTCTGTTATATATATTTTTGAGGCTATTGACATACTCTAAGGTGCCATCTGTTTTCACTTTGGGCATGGAGGGAACACAATGAACTCTTCTCTAAGTTCTTAAAAATACTATATGTATATCTACTGAAATACTGGTCAGTACACAGCATGACTTCAAAATATATTAGCTCTCTGCCACTAAATTTGGATGCAATAACTCAAGCTTAAATCTATCAATCTACATAGACCTCTTGAATAAGGATAATTTAGAATCAAAGTGGTGAATAAAGAAAAGACAGCCTTTATTCCATCAACAACCAATAGCAAATTGTTGTTATGTAATATCCAAACCGGAATTCAATAAGTTGATGACAAGCACATTTCTATTTTCTGCTTTCCTAAAACATGGGGACTATCTCTAGGAAGATAGACCAACACACTCTTATACACTTATAGGGACCTTTTGTTACAGAGACCACAGAGATCACAGAGGTGTTAGAGGGTCAAGAGGTGGCGATTGTCTTCATTGTCCAGTTTAAATGTTTACAAAACTCTGTATAAATTATCTTTATAAATGAGCTATCTTTTTACTTCATTCAAGTACAGATGTCAAAGTGCACTTTATTCTTCCTCTTTAGATTTTGAAGCTATCTGTCAATTCTTTCCCTTCAGCAGAAGTAAAATAAATTAGTTTGCATGTTATACTGTAGGCACAGCTGGCTGAGGCATTCTATGAGGAAGTAGACAACATCACTGATAATGAGATTGACTTGGAAGGTGAAACCAAGGGCCAAAATAAGATCTACAAAGAATGAAATGGGTAATGCTGTGCCATGGATCTCTGCTTGGCTGGATTTATTAGATATCATAATTATGAAAAACCTCTGGCCATATGAAATTTTTTAAATATAATGATACTAGTGTTAGCATAGTAATAATTATCATTAATTACTGTAATAATATCTTAATATTATTAAATAATTATTAATTACAATTATTATTTATTAATTATTAAGTTGCTGTTTATTAGAAGTCTATCATGTTCCTAGCAATCACTTTTCACTTCTGGATGGAATATACTAACTGGCCTCAATGTATGGTGAAATATTATGTCCCTCATGAAAATGTGATTTGAACTTCATGTAGCTATAAAAAGAGAGAAATCTTTGAATCACCCCAACGGCCTTAAATTATATTGAACAGCATAAGGTTTTCAAAAGACTGGCACTCTTAGAACAATTCACTGTTTCTTTATTAGAACTCTCTTCTTCTTTCATAGCAATAACTTAAAAAAAAATTGTATACATAGGCTAGTGCTTAATTTTGTTGTTAATTAGTGCTCTTAGGGTGGTCTTTCCCTGAAAAAAATAGGCAAGTGCTGGAGTGTCCTTTTCCCAACATACACTGAAAGATTAAGAGAAAGATACAGACAAGATGTATATACACACATACAGACACACACACATTATGTGGACCAAATATAATGAGTTCACTTTGCCCATGCAGACAGCAGAAGCATGTAGGTAAAACGTGTAGAGGACTGGTTTTAAGTGGAAGGACTAGAAACACACTAGGGATGGAATTCTCCTTTCTGTTTTGGCAGTTAAGTTTCATGGCCTGCAAAGTAATATCAGGGCCCATTTAATTCTTTAAATTCCATTAATTCTACAGAACTTCTCCACCTCTAAATTTAAGAGAAGTTATCAAGTAAGCACACTCTATACTGACCTTCTAGAATAATCCTGAGAACATTTGTTTCAAAGCTCACTCTAAATGTTCTTCCTTTAAGATCTTACAGAACTAAATACTTCATCTTGGCAGCACTTTTCACCATTGTAATTTTACACTCATAGATGATGTTTTTATTTAAATAATACCTTTCTTCTTCATCATAATAAATGAGGGCAGGAATATTGTTTGCTTTTGCTCCATTATATCATTAGATCTTATTGCAATGCCTATAAATAACTGGTGCTCATTAAATGTTTATTGAATGAGTGAAATATCGCAGGAAAGAAGAGAGGAAGGAAGAGAGGAAGGGAGGAAAGGAGGAAGAGAGAGAAGGAGGAAGGGAAGGAGGAACAATGAACTCATTCCTGATGTTTCTCCTCCCACTCCTACTGTCCAAAGTCAAGTTACATTATCCTGTCTAGAACTGAGTCAATAAACTTATTCTTGATAGTGACCAGGTATTAATGACTTAGAAATGCCACTATTAAGGATATTGCATTTAAGAGAGCTGTTGAGAGAAAGAGATAGAGACAGAGATAGGGACAGAGAGAGAAAGAATGGGAATGAGTGAATGCCTTGGGTTTGCTTAACAGAAAGGAATGGATGAATAAAGGTAGAAGGTCAGGCATCACCTGGGTAGCTAGCTGTTTAAGGGATAGAACCTGTCTTAGTTATCTAATGCTGCTATAACAGAAATACCACAAGTGAATGGCTTTAACAAACAGAAATTTATTCTCTCACATCTAGGAGACTAGAAGTCCGAATTCAGGGTGCCATCTCCCAGGGAAGGTTTTCTCTCTCTATCGGTTCTAGGGAAAGGTCCTTGTCATCAATTTTCTCTTGATCTAGGAACTTCTGAGCCCAGGGACCCCGGGTGCAAAGGACGCAATTTGCCGCCAGAGCTTCTCTCTTGGTGGCATGAGGTCCCCCTCCTCTCTGATCACTTCTCTCTTTTACTTCTCAAAAGAGATTCACTCACTCAAGATACAACATAATCCTGTAGATGAGTCCTGCCTCATTAACATAACTGCCTGTAATCCTGTCTCATTAACATCATAGAGGTTAGGATTGACAACGTAGGATAATCACATGAGATCACAAAATGGTGGACAACCACACAGTACTGGGAACCATGGCCTAGCCAAGTTGACACACATTTTTGGGGGACACAATTCAATCCATAGCAGAACGCTAAACTCATTTCAACATGCTTAGTCATTTGCCTTCTTATAATAAGAGGGTCTGGATACCATGCATATTATTAATATAATCCCATATTTCATTCTCTGTATCAACAACTTGCTGTCTGGCTAAATACGAATAAGCCTTGATTTCCCTCAAGGACAGGCTATTTTCTTGCTTCTTAGACTAGGGGGTTTTCCTGTTAATCTTGTCCCTCCAAAATCTGTGGCTTTACTAAGGTCAGTCAGCTGCCCAGTACCACATCAGCACAGGCTGGCTGTGCTACTCATGGTGTATGATCCTGGATGAATCACTTATCCTCCTTGAGTCGGCTTCCCTAGTTATAAAGATAGCAATAGCAATATCTACCCTGCCTCATTCAGTTCACATGAACTGAAATGAGATGTGTAAAAGCCCCTTCATAAAAGTTAAACACTCTAAAAGCCTAAGGAACTATCCTGCTAGTTTTAAAAAAATTCATATCAGAAGCATAATTTAATAACATGAAACCTTTAGGTGCTGCCTATGTACTCAGGGTCCGTTTTTTTTTTTTTTTTTTTTTTTTTTTTTAATAAAAAGACCTTATTTATTTACCTGAGAGGATTGTAGAAGGACCAAATAAAAGAGTATCGGTGAAAGTACTCCATCCACGTGCAATTGTGATTATTTAAAATCTCAGGCAAATTCTACCATGACAAATGCTCTTACCACACAAATTCATCAATAATACAGAGCAACAACATACTTTTTTTCTCAAAATGTCCTCAGATCAGCAATTTGAAACAATCAAAACATTTAAACTTTGAGGAACATTATTATGCACTCTAACCTGTGCCATAAGCTAAGAAAATGCAAAGTTATGTCAAAGATATTTATACAAAAATCATCATCAAAATCCTACAGAGCAATTTCATCAAATAGTTCTTTAAGGCAAAGATCTAGTGTGAAAATAATGATGATTTGGAAATACAAGTATGAAATAAGGTTATCTAAAAATGCACGTAAATTTAATTTTCCCTGGAAGCTGTCCTTTGAAATGGGAAAAAAATACCCCCAATGTGTCATAAGCACAGTATTTCTGCTCAGAGCAGTGAAATAGAGTCATGCTGCTTGCCACAGCTAGATAGAGTCCGTCACACAGGCTAAGTGTGTCCTTATGGAAATCAAGTTACTCATTGTCCAGAATGCTGGATATAAAATCATCAGCTGCCAGTTGTTTGGTGGGTTGAAGTATAAAAATATTGCAAGGAATTGACAAAGAAAAGAGATTCAAAATTCTATTCCATCTCAGACTGTCTCCCTGTGTGACCTTTGAATCAACATTTTAGCCCTCCAAACAAGGCAGGTGACTACATCATCAACAATGTAGCCGAAACCATGACCTTGAAAAGTAACAACACTGCAAAACAGTTCTACACAGGAAATAGAATAAACACACGAGATTCACATACACAAACCTTGCTCATCACATGGTCTTTATCAAGACATCTTAAAGAAATTTTAGACACCAAAAATAGTCCCTCAAAACAAACAAAATTATACCACTAATCCACAGTCTATGAATACTTTAACTAATCTGGAAGGTCACATTTATTTTGCAATTACAAAGAAACAAAGAGGCAAAAAAACTAGGCATCTTGTGGCACCCTACCACCTTCACCTATTTGTGTAAATCTATGGCAGGTGTTTGCACCAATTCCATAGTTTAAATGCCTGGAGTAGCCCTTGGATTTCTTCTAGGTTCTCAGCATCTTCCTTTTATTGCTAGATGATTTTCTCCCTGAAACATCTATCTCAGGGATTTAGGGAACGGTCTACAAGGGTGGCAGCGTCATTGAAGGCAGATGCTGTGAGTGCCTCCTTCCACCAGATTTGTGTCCTAGCAGAACCTTTGCAGGACCTTTGGTCTGGACATGAACCAGAGTAGGATGTTCTGCCTAAAGAGAACCTTAATGTAGAGTTCAGGACCAGACTGATTAGATATTAGCTGGATGCTCAGAAAGACTTACAGCTTTCAATTTCCAAGGTGCAGTTTTGTTCATCCAGTGGGTACCGCCTTAGGTCCATCATGCAGGCAGCTGTGGTTGTGATCCTAGAAGAGAAATAGCAATGAGATGTACCATTAGCAGGTCCATGGCTGGAGTTGGAAATATTAAATCCAAGTATTAAAGAGGACAGATCTGTGGATTTAGGAGACTGTGTTTTAGCCCAAGCTCTAATGAAAAGGATGATGTAACTTTGGATATCCATTTTCCTTTATGAGCCTCATGCTGACCTGTAGCATTAAGAGACTGGACTAAATCAGTATTTCCCAAAGTGTGGTCTATTTACTACTTGTACCAAAATCATGTGGGAACACTTGTTAAATAGACAGTTCCCATGCCTCAAGAATCTCTTGGGAGGCAGGAGGGTGGTCCAGGAACCTTTATTTTAAAATCATCTCAGCTAATTGAGAACCACTGACATAGATGGTCCTCTTCCTCTCACCTTTGCTTTGTCCTCCTCTCAAGACCCTAATATTTAATCTTTGATCAATCTTGGCTTTGATCCATCATTTTTTATCTTTCTATACATAGAATAGTACTTCGTTATTGTTGTTGTTGTGTGTCCTTGAGTCCATCCCAACTCTAGCAACCCTGTAGGATAGAGCTTTAATACAACACACAATCAGCCTTCTTCTATCATCTGATTTGTTCTGTCTTGAGTAATTTGATATTCTTATGACCTGTTAGGTAGCCTTCTCCTATTGGTTGGCAGATTTTGTATTGTTTTATTAAGAACACTTGATATGTTTAGGGTTTTATCAGGGAGAAACAAATTTGGCCTTTTAGGTTGTCCTTATGTTTCTCTGTCATTATTCTTCACTAATCTCTTTATTTACAACATACTAGAAGGAGCCAAAATACATATACTCCTAAGCAATTTATCAGTACATATTTTCTGATGAATGAGGTAGCAAAGGATCATAAAAGAGCACAAGTTTTAGAACACAACAGACATAGCTGTGCATTCCCTCACTAACTGAGTGATTCAGGTCAAAACTATTAATATCTCTTAACCTTAGGATTTTTGTTTTTTTCTGTAAAATGGGACTATTATTAACAACAATAAAAATAATTACCTAACAGGGTTGCTATAAGAATTATTATAATACTTTATGTAAAGAATCTAACAGGGTACCTGGCACATATTAGGCTTTTTAAAAAAATTACATTTTGCTAAAGGTAAGTAATTTGTTTAATAATGTTTAATTTGATAAACTTTGGCTTATCCTATGACGGGCAATGTGTTAGGTCATGGAGAAGCCTACACAAATCCAAATGGACTAAGCCTAAGAAATTCCTCAGTTGTAGAATGGAAATAAATGTTTAACTTAATGTTGTTAAGTAGTTCTTGTCTCTTTAATTTAATTACTGCTTTATTAAGGCTTATGTCTGTTAATTTTTGTTGTCCTTTTTTGTAATAAGTATCCTGGGGCTGATGTTCATCCTTGATTCCTTCCTTTGTCTCACAAAGTCCTGTTGGATAGTCTGCTTCAATGCCTTCCCACCTCCACCACCGCCCTCCAGGCCTATGCCCCCATGGCCTCTCATCCAAAGCACTGCAGAGGCCTGGTCTCCCAGCCTCTCCATTTGCTGCCCTAATATCCACTATCCACTCAACAGCCAGAAAGATCTTTTAAGAATGTAAAGTAAATCAGATTATATCACTCTTCTGCTTAAACCTTTTAATGTTCTTCCAATAAAATCCAAAATCCTTACTATGGTTTATTATGCCCTGAATAATCTGACCTTTTTCTTTTTTTCTTCACAATATCATATCATGCCATGTCCTCACCCACTATCCGTCAGCTTTTGCAGTTGTTCTCACTGTGTACAACACTCTAATCTGATCTTTAGAGAGCTGACTTCTTATCCTTTCGCTCAAAAACCACCACCTCTGAGAGGCCCTTCCCAGGAAGTCCATCCAAAGTGGACATCTTTAGTTTTCTCTAGTTTCTCAAGAAAGTCATCTTTCTGTTTATTTCTTTTAAGTAATTATCACAATCTGAAATTATCTTGCTTATTTATTTATTTACTTAATAACTGTCTATTTCTCCCACTAAAATTTAAACTGTTTAAGGACAGAGACTTTGTCCTATTCATTGTAGGGTAAGCAATAAATATTTGCTGAGTGAAAAAACACATGAATTTATAAAAAGGAAAAGAGTTGATTTCCGTATGTATTTACTTAATTTGGAAGATTATTTTATTGAATTATTTCTCTTCTTTTTAAATTTAAAATTATAATGTATCAAGTAAGAGTGGTTTTGTTTTTTTGTATTTTTAACAATAAATAATTTTAATCCATTTAATTAAAATTATATAGATAGTACCAGAGTGTATCTTATCAAATTGATTGTTTCTGCTTTCAATGGGATTTATCAAACACCGTGGCACAGCGGTTAAGAGCTCAGCTGCTAACCAGAAGGTTGGCAGTTCAAACCCACCAGCTGCTGCTTGGAAACCTTATGGGGCAGTTCTATTGTGTCTTATAGGGTCGCTATGAGTCGGAATCAAGTCGACAGCAACAGTTTGGTTTTTGGTTTATATTTTATAAAAGTTATTAAAAATTGGCATTCACATTTGATTTTTTTACTCAGGGTTTAAAAAAATGACAATTTCTTTTGGCTATATAATACTAGGCTTAATTTCACACTCTTCCACTGATGGTTTTTCTGACATGTAAATAAAACCTGAATTGCCACTAACATAAAGAGAACTATACTATGCTCAACAGAAATTTTCAAAGAAAATAAAATTAGGTACATGATGGGTGTTCTCAATGCCCATGCTATTTATGTAAAGCACCAGAAATAAACCCTGTCCTAGAAATTAGAAGAAACTAATTTCATTCGATAGAATGCACACGAGCATATGAAAGGCACAAGGACATATATATGATAAAAAGGCGAGAGTCATGTATAGAAGGCCCGACTGAGTAAATGAGGTGAAATTTGCAATCACTACTACAGTTTGTGGTGCACACTTCCTGTTGACACATATTCAAAGCAACTAACATCTGTGCACTAGTGCTGCAAACACCAAGAAAAAGAAATACTTCGGACATGTCATCAGGAGGGTAAAGCAAAAGGTCAGCAAAAAAGACGGAAGATCTTTGACAAGATGGATTGATACAGTGGTTGCAACAACGGGCTCAAGCATAACAATGATTGTGACGATGCCAGAGGACTGGGCAGTGCTTTGTTCTGTTGTACACAGGGTGGCTATGAGTTGCAACCGATTCAATGGCACCTAACATAACAACTGCAGGAGTAATGAACTTGTACTCCTGTTTGTAAAATAAAGTAGAACGAAACATTTTCCATGCATCAGCAACACTCATATTTACACCAGTGTTCTACCGTTTCTTTTATGCTTTAATATATTTAATGAAATTAAGAAAGAAGAATTTTAGATGTTTTCTAGTCAGTATTTACAAAGTATTCATAAGTGTCTCCTACTGAACTAAAGCAAAAACTCTGGAGTCAAAAGAATCCATTTGAAAACCTGATCTGTATGTCCAGGTTGGGTGATGTTAGGCAAGTCACCTATACTTTCTGACACTTGGTTGTCCCATGTTGAAAATTTGAATCAAAAATTTTCCAACCTAATTTGCTGTGATAAAATAAAAGTAGGAAGTGATTTATAACCTACAATATGCTCTGCAACTTTTGATACTACCTGCTAATGAGCAGATACAGTGTAAATTATTTTGCCTGAGGCTGTTTGCTGATTAGCATGAGAATATGTTTGTATACATGAAGAAATGTAGAATACCCACACATTTATATTATAATCAAGGCAGAGATATATGGATGAAATAGCTTCCCAATACACAAATATGCAAAAAATAATTACCTATATGTATATATGGAAACACTGGTGGCGTAGTGGTTAAGAGCTACAACTGCTAGCCAAAATGTCGGCAGTTTGAATCCACCAGGCACTTCTTGGAAACCCTGTGGGGCAGTTTTACTCCGTCTTTTAGGGTTGCTATGAGTTGGAATCAACTTGATGGCAATGAGTTTGGTTTATATGTATATATGGAGCTGTATTTGACAGATTATAAAACAAAGTGCAGGCAGGTGTAACCAATCTGCATCTTTCCAAGGGGCTTTATGAGATCAGGATCCATATCTGTTTTTGTCATGTTTATATCTCATGCACTTTGCCAGGTGCTTGACACATGTCAACAATCCAAGATTAAAACAATAACAATAATAAATAAAACAAAGGAAAAAAGTCCTGACCATAAGTATTCTAAACCTGAGTACTTAAAGCCATTCTCTATATTAAGTGCTTGATTTAACTTATGTAAAAAATTCTCAAATTTGAAAGTTGAAATCATCCTTACAGAAAAAGCTCCCCTGAAGGAGTCTTACTCAGAAAATCCCAGGGATAAGCATCTAAATCTTCTGTTCTTTGGGACTTTTTGATTTATAACAGGGCTAAGTTTCTGCAGGAATAAGTCAATATAACAAACATACTTAATGGGCTTTTCTACAGGAATAAGTCAATATAACAAACATACTTAATGGGCTTTTCATGAACATGCCTTTCTTTGAATCCTGATGAACATGCTTAATGGGCCTTAAATTACTCAACATCCCTACTAGAATTCTTTAAAATGGGAATAGTAACCCATTTTGCAGGTACCCTAATTAAGTTTTAAGACCATTGTGAAATATATGGAGACAGCTCTATCCTCAGGCGCAGGAAAAAGTCAATGATGCCTCCAGAACATACTCCATTTAAAAGTGGAAATGCATGTTCTCTGGGGCTGAATGCTATTGCATGAAGGCCACGTTTGGGAAATGGCAATATTCTGACTGGGCTAACAGATCTTTGAATAAACTTATTTCTTAGACATTGGCCACAGTCATCCAAAAACGACTTGAGCAAGAAAACCGAATATGCGACAGAGCCTAAAACAGTCACTAAAGGCATCTATAAAATCAAAAAATACAACATCTAAGCCAGTATTTTGTACTAAAGCCATAACAGATATTTTATAGTGCCATTACCTGAGATTGAATGATGCTACCATATC